GACTGTGGATAGCTATTATTCTGAAGGTAACAGAAAATTAACTGATTTTTAGGCAGGGGAACAACATGACTGGATTTTTTCTTTTTCAGGAAACTCTGCAGGCTAAATAGAAGATGAACTACAAAGAACCAAGATTTCAGAGAATGAGGTAAGCCGGCTAACCAAATAGGGTCTCAAAGACTGTTGTGGTGGAGCATTAGAGTTCAGGATCTCATATTTGGCCTCCAAATCCAGAAACTGATTTTCCTAATGCATCTATCATGGAATAGACACTTGAGAATTGACTTACAATAACCAAATTCATAAGAGACTATGGCATAAAGTATAATTTTAATTTACTAATACACATTCATTCATTCATCAAATACTTATAATTGTTTTGTGGTAGGCATTGTTCTAAGGGGCTAGGGACACAGCTGTAATTAAAAATTTCCTAACCTCACAGAGTTACATTAAAATGTGTAATATATTTTTCCAGTGATTAAAGCGTTTGTGTTTGCTGCCCAGAGCATTTCCTTCCCAGTGTAAAAATACCAGGAAGTCTAACTGGTAATCAAAATATTGTTTGGTGAATGATCAGAAAAAATAGAGGTAGATGGTATTATGGCCCATTTCATTCAGGCCACAAGTAAAGCCTAATAAATTGTCTATACTCTAGAACAGTAATCATATTCTCTAATGAACATCTGAACAATGTTCTTTGGATTCATGATTTCTCTATCCTGAAAACTGAGGGATAGAAAAACATGGTCAAATCCTGGCTGATTCCTCTCTTTCTGGGTTGCAGGTGAACCATTTCAATTCTAACAAATTCTTTCAGACATATTGCAATACAACTGATGCTAATTGTTACCTTCAGTCATTTTTACCATATATGATTAAACAAAGGTTCCAATTTCAACTATTTCACTGTAAGCAATCATGTTATAATTTTGTATACTACTGAATTTTCATCCATTAATTCAACAAATATCTTCCAAGTATTTATTAAGTGCATATGATGAGCTAGGCTCTCTGCTAGGTGCTAGGAATATCAGTGTGAACAAGACAGATTTTGTACCTATCCTCAAGGAATTTACATACATTCTAGTAGTGAAGTGAGATTAAGAAAATCACAAGAAGGGCCGGCCCGGTGGCGCACTGCTGTAGTGCGCCGCTTGGGAAGCGCGGTGGCGCTCCCGCCGAGGGTTTGGATCCCACATACGGACCGGTTCCCGCTCACTGGCTGGGCGAGGCGCAGGGGCAACACCAAGGGTTGCGATCCCGTTGCCGGTCCCGGTCTGGTACGGGGGCGACACTGAGGGTTGCGATCCGTTGCCGGACACGGAAAAAGACAAAAAAGAAAAAAAAAAAGAAAGAAAATCACAAGAAAACAACCAATAATTAAACAAATTGTGGTAAGTGTTATGAAGGGACAAGAGGAAAATGTTGCAGTATCTAAGAAAGAGATGACAATCACCTGGACTAGGCTAGCGGCAGTAGCGACAGAAGTGGTTGTATTTGAGATTTATTTTGGACATAGAATTAACAAGACTTAATAATGAACTGGATGAAGAAAGTGAGGGAAAGGAAGGAGTTGTGGGTAACTCCTAGGTTTCTGACTTAGCAACTAGGTAGAGAGCAGTGCCCTTAACTGAGATGATGAAGACTTGTTGCGGGACGTACCCAGAGTTATGTTTTAGACACAATAACTTTGAGATGGCTGTAAGGCAAGCAAATATGAAGAAGTAGGCACTTGGATACGTGAGGCTGGAACTCAGAGGAGAGGTTTGGATTGGAAATATAGATTTGGGAATCACTGTTTTAATGATGCTATTAGAGATTGTATATCCTGGTCAACTTGCTTAGAATTGGGGATTCCTAAATCCCCCAGTGACACATTTAAAGATAATCTCTTAGTCATTTCTACATATGACTAAACTTAATAATTAAGAATTAATTCCTACTAGTTTAGTTCTCAAAGGATAACCCTATGCAAGACTTCTTTGGAATTAGCCTCACTGTACCTTCTGTCCACTACAGCAACCCAAAGATAAATTTAATTTCAGAGTTACTAGATGCTTTTTATTAATATCTCAGTGACTTTTCTCATTTCCTCACCAAAGCTAACTCTTAAAGGCCCCATTTAATGAGGTACTAGTAGATGAAGAGTTAAATAGGTCTTAATTTCTATGTGGATTAGAATCTCTGTCTCAGTTATGTTTTCTGTAAGCTAAATATCACCCACGAGGATCTGTGGCCTTTCTTACCAATTAGGAAGAGTACTGGACTAAGAATCATGAGATCTGGGTCCTAGTTCAAGTACACTCACTATTTAACTTTGTTTAAGTCAAAGTCTCCATAGGCCTGCTATTTTATGGGTCAAGCGAAGAGACTATAGAATACTTTAAAACCAATGGAAACATATAATTAAGTATATAATTGAAGAACAATCATCATTAGCTTACTATTGGGAAGCTGGAGATCTGAGGAGGTGCAAAGCATAAAGAATGGCACAGAGTGAAGATTCCAGTAGTCTGTTTCTAGATTTCTCACTACTTTTTGTGGACTCCATAACTTGGCTTCTGTATCTATAAAACAGGTAAATCACAGTAATTTCTCTCATGCGTATGAGAAAAAAAAAATATCTGTATGCTTTGCAGAGATTTCTAGATAAAAGAAGTTATGAAAATGCAAGTAATTATTTGTGTTGATGCTAAGTAGAATCTATCTCTTGGAAAACCTAGAAAAACTTAGCTATCATTGGTTTGTGATTTCTGCTACTTCTCCAGGGAATCTTGGCTTTCGCTGAAAAACAAACTGTTACCTTGGAGGAAGCCTGAAATCTCTTTAGGAAGCCTTCTTGCGAGGAGCCAGCTCGGGGAGGTTATAGCTGGTACCACGCTGTAAAGGAAAAGAAATCTTTTCACAAAAGTTGTCAAGGCTATTTGCTAAGCATATCAGCATTTCCCAACAAAGGAGCAGAGGTACAGGGAGGCCTCATTAAGACTTTCTTAGTGTAGGTCTTTGTTAGCGTGAACTGAGTAACTTAAGGGTGATTTCCCATGAACTCCTTTTCTCCACCTCTATCACTCTCTTATCCCTTTGTTTTTTTCCACTTTATTTGTTTTTCCTTCCTCTCAGTCTTCATTTTCCTAGTGGAGCAGGCTTTTCAAAAACTTAGTCCAAAAAATGAACTAACTATTTAAATACAAAAACCAAACAAAGAAACAAAAACAGTCCACATTGTTTCCTTCTCTCCTCTTCAAGGACTCCCCATTGAGTGATTTGGGGACTGTCATGCCCCAAATGTTTGTTATCTCAAAAAGACCCAAGAGAAGATAAATGGTGTTCTCAATCAGGGGTGATTTCCGCCCCTGCCCCCCCCCCCCCCCACATTTGGCAACATCTGAAGACATTTTTGATGGTCACAACTAAGGGGAGGGTGCTATTGGCATCTAATAGAGACCAGGGTGCTGCTAAACATCCTACAGTGCACAGAACAACACTCCACGACAAATAATTGTGTTGAGAAACCTTGGTATGCACAGATATCAGTAGCTGAAGATGACAGGTTTGGTGGCAGCAGTCCGGGCTCCTTGTGGATTCAGATTCTCAAGGTGGTAAATTGGCAGCCACTGGTACCACATTGTCTGGTCTTGGATTCCCAAGTTCCCTGTTCTGCTGGCTGTATATGACTTTAGACTAATTATTCAATGCCACAAAAGCAGTTTTCTCACCTGGAAAAAGGGGCTAATAAAGTATCCACCTCACTAAACTGTAAGCTCCTTGGAGGAAAAGACCTGCAGATTAGGGACTGGTATCCAGGACAGAATTCTAAATATTTGTGGATTATCTGTCACAGTTGTTTTGAGGCCTAAAGCGGAGAACATATATTAGGAAATCTGGAGCACAGTGAGGAGAAAAGCAGCCCCTGATCGCAGCATCAACAAGGATGTGCTTTCCTGTTGAACATAAAGTTTTACAGAACACCAACATCAGACAAGGCCACCCTGAGAGCACGGTCAAAAAATAAATAAAACCACTCAGTATGATGTTTATTCAGAAGAATAAGAAAAAGAAAACAAACAAAAGAAAGAAAAACCCAAATATTGTCCCAATCACAGAAAATGACCAGATACCCCCCTATTCCATCCTTCTTTACCAACCGCAGCTTTAGCCTCACTTGGTTCTTTTCCTCTTGTATGTAAGAATTATTAAAATACCCAATCATAGAGTTACCTCCATGTGCTGATAGCATCCAATCCAGAGAGAAGCCCTGCTTCCTTGAACCCTTCCTTAAACTACCTACCACAAGCCCAAACCCTGGAAAATTTTCCAACGCCCTTCCTGAGATGTCCCGCTGATCCCCACAGTGTGCCTCCCTCCTTGCAAGGAGACGACAGGCCCAACTTATTGGAACAAGAATAAGAGCGGTCAAGCAGAGGCTTCACAAATAAGCATTTTGAGGTTTCCTGACAGGTTGCCTGTTGCCAGCTGTTTCTCCTCGGAGGACGCCTTCTCTTCTCAGCTACCCCTAAGCAGACAGGGAGGAGACTTTTGGTTTCTGATCTCCCAAGGAGAAAGCCAGCACGTTAAATTTCTCATGAAGTTAAACCCCTTAGCGGGGGGCGCGCCTCCGGCTCCACCTCAGAATTCCCCAAACACTAGAACACGCGAGGGGCATGAGGGAAACTAAAGCCCCAACGGGTTCATATTACCGAGTGTCTTCCCCACTACCCTAACCCAGGAGGAATAGCCTCGAATTCACGCTATAAGCAGTGCAGAACAACGTTCTACAAGCAATACAGAGCTTGCAAAAGGATGAGGAGAACTGCACCACCCACAACCGAACCTCCTGGCTGCCTCTGGCTCAGACGTCGCTCAACGAACGCTAGGGGCCTGCCGCTCGAGTGCCCGCCTCCTTCTTCTATGCGGACTACAAGTCCCGGCATGCGTGGCGCCGCGGCGTCGCTTGGTAACTCGCGCCACACGAAGCAAACTAGGTTGGCTCTTCCGCGCGCCTGCGCCTTGGCCGGCTCTGCGCAGGCGCACCTCTAACGCTTGGGAGGAGAGGGCGGGGTGTTGTTCCCTTTCGCTGATGCAAGAGCCTAGTTCGGCGGTGGGAGAGGTATCAGCAGAAGGAGCGCTGCCTCCGGGACCTGGGGCTGACCCATACGACTTCCTGTCCGTGCTGAACCTACTCGAGCCGCAGCCATGTCCGGGGACGAGGTGAGAGCCTGAACCTGGCACTGGGGCTTTAAGGACAGGCGGGAAGCCAGACCCACCCCAGTGTGGGAGACCGGGCCTGCGGCCTAGCGGCCGGCCTCCGCCATGTGGGGCAGCCGGGCCTAGGCTGTCTGGGGCGGTAGGGCCGGCGAGGACTCCGCAGCCGCGGGCTTGGCCGCACCCGGCTCTCCTCAGAGCGTCGGCCCTGAGGTCGGCCGCTTCCTGTGGCTGGCGTTTCCGGAATGGAGAGCGCACGTTGGGTCGCCCGCTCTGAACGGGTTTGGTTGCCTACTGAATGCCCCGACTGTACGAGATTGGGACTGGCGACCCCTGCATTCCTGTCCACTGAACACTGCAGCCCAAGCTCGCCTCATGGGCGCCGAGGGTGCCGCGAGGAGCTTCTTTCGGCTCTAGTGGAACACTCTTTTTAAAAACTTTGTAGGCTGGCTTGTCCGGGCCGGTATCCCGCCCTGGTACTACTCTCGAGCATTATTTCTTAAAAAGACGAGGAGGTGAGGGAGATAGGACAAGAAGAGAAGATTTTTCAGCCTCAAAAAGTGACTAACCTTCCCGAAAAGTTTCTGGGCGGGAGTGCTCGAGCTCCGCTTCACAGAGGACTCAGCGACGTGAGTGGGAATTTCGGGCGGCGAAGCCGGCTGGGTATTTTCTATCCTCGTGCTTGGATCTCAGCGAATTTCCTCAGATCTCCTTTTCCCAAACTTATCCTAGTTCATGTAAAATCAAGCGACTTAAAATGAAGTTGATGGTAAATGCTCTAAAGGTATTGCTTAACATTGGGGGAAGAGCTACCGCTTACCGGCGAGATATCCCCGGTCCCCCAATAAAAAAGCTTATGCAGTTTTATAGTTCACTTGCCCTATAGGGCCTTGGAGAGGAGGAGAAGAGGAAGAATCCGAGGCTGTCTAGAGAGTTGGCTTTTGAGGTAGGCCCTGAATGATGCTTAGAATTTCCTCAGGCAGTGGAGAAGGCTTGATCACCATAGGGCACGGGAGTGGTCGAGAAAGGCAAGGGTGCTCACAGAAAGTGGAATATTCTCCAGTTTGGTTAGCGTTAAGCAGTGAATACTGAAAGAAGGTAGTGGTTAGTTCATGGAGGGCTTTGAAGACCAAATTAAGGAATTTGGAATTTATTCTGGAGGGGGATTCCGATCTCTCATTTCATTCTCACAAAAAACGTGTAAAATGGGTCCAATTGTTATGCCCATTTTAGAGATGAGAAAATTGAGGCTTACAGAGTTTTATAATGCCTACGATCAAATTCTAGGTGGCTGAGCCGGTAGTAGAATACCAGATCTATGCAATATTGTCTCCCATCTAGGGAGTTTCTCACTAGCTTAGAGAAACTGAGTCTAAAGGTACTGGTAGATGGTTCTTGCTTGGAGGTCATGAAAGACATTGCTCTAGGCTACTGTATTTCAAAAGTTCTGAGAGTGGCAGTGTCTCACACTTGTTTTATTTCTACTCATTTTTCGAACTTCTCATAATCTTTAGCAAATACAGTGTGGGGTGTTATTCTGGGGTGTTATTCATGGTTTCTATGTTAAAGTGCTCACAGTGTGGTAAGGTAGGTAAGAGAGGAGTGCAGCTGTAATGCAAAGTAAAAACTAATAGTTGCCACACCAGGTAGAAATAGAGCCATCAGGGCCGGCCCCGTGGCTCACTCGGGAGAGTGCAGTGCTGATAACACCAAGGCCCCGGGTTCGGATCCCATATAGGGATGGCCGGTTAGCTCGCTGGCTGAGCGTGGTGCTGACAACACCAAGTCAAGGGTTAAGATCCCCTTACCAGTCATCTTTTAAAAAAGAAAAAAAGAAATAGAGCCATCAACATAGTGATTTGGGGGGCTAGAGGGATCTTTAGTTGTGTGTGGTATCAGGCTTTGAAGGAAGTGCATTGTGAATATGTTACTGAAGGATGAAACGGGATTTTGTCAAGCAGAGATCGCAGAACCAGCATTCCAGCAGAGGACTTCAGAAGCCATAAAGTATTAAGCAGCTTTGCACTTCTCAGGTCTACCGGTCCAACTTCATTTTATAGACAGGAAACTGGGGCACAGGGAGGTTAACGTGCTCAAGGTCTCACAGTGAGCAAGTGGGACTAGAACCCTAGCCTTTGGCTTCTACTCTGTCAGGTAGAAGTTAGGGGTAGAAGGAAGTATGAAGAATAGGGTGTAAATTCTGGTTCCTCTAGTGCTTGGCTAGATTACTATTCTTAGGCCAATCTCCTAATCTCTGACTACAGACTTGTGAGGAGCAAATGAAAATCTGTACTTGTAAATGATTTATAAACTGTCAGGGACTTTCCAAAGTGGAAGTAATCCTGCCTGGTAGTCAGGATTAAAGAGCCTAATATTAAAAAGTAGGACTTCTTTTACAGTTCTTTTTTCTTTAGATGGCTTATTGACATAAAAAAGACTGTACACAAAATAAACCGTACACATTTATTTTTAAACACACATTTATTTATATTTATTTTTATTATTATTAAGCCAAAAACTCACCACAACATAACCCTTTTTAGCCTAGTGGAACCATGGTTCTGGAAATGTGGATGCTCCCTGGTAAGGAAAAAAAAATCCCCTAATCTGTAGGCATTCAGTATGTTTCAGGCCGTTTTTTTAAACCGTTGTCAATACTTAAGAAAGACTTACTACTAGGCCTCATTCACAAGGTTGTCACAACATCAGGTTTTCACACAGTATGGTAAGGTGTTTTTGCAAAAGAAGATTTAAACTAAAAAAGAGTTTCTGATTAAAAATGGTCTGTGTGTTGTATGAAGTTTGCAAAACAGAAGAATGCAAAGAAATAAAAAACTTCTCAGAATCCTATTACCCAGAGATGACAACACTGTTAGCATTCGTTCTCATGCTTGCTTCTCTGTGAGTTCTTTTGTGACTCACACCTGCCTTCTGGGTTTAGTATGATCATAAAGTTTATTTCTTGGGTAAGGTGTGATGGACGAGAGGAGACTTCTAACTGATGAAGCATTTCAGGCTATACCAGCGAAAATTACCTGTTATCCTTTTCCTTCTACAGGATAACGGGAGAAGTTGAAAATAGAAACTATGATTTTGAAGGCTTCGTTGTGAACCTTAAAAAAAAAAATAGCTCAAGTGATTCTGTAGTTTTCCATAAGTATACTATCGGCAACTATTTGCTTCTCAAATCCAAACTAGTCTCATAAACCAGACATTTGGGGCAGTCAACTGACAATTTGGAAGTTAGATAAGAAAGTCTTAAAAAGCCATGATTTTAGTCAGGACTGACATGACATTATACTTTGGGAAGGTCTGCTTTGGGTGCTGCCTTGGGATCCCTGGTTTCCTTATTTGGAGACTGTACTTTGCAGGGTGGTATAAATAAAAGGAGGCAAGGAGTATACATTAAGTATCCAGAGACAGTAAATGAATGAGATGTTAATTATTTCAGTGTATGATTTCTGCATGTGTACTACCCAAACTGTTACCTGTAGGCCTAAATAAGAGTGTTTTTCAGGGGATAAGGCAGTTGTGTGGCTGATGATTTCAGGATCCCTCACATCTTTGGTCTGTCTTGCTGAATAATAGTTAAAAGTCAGTCAATATTTCAGGGAACTTGATGCTTGAAAAAAATGCCATAAGTGGATTGCCAGAACCAAATTTATAATATCTGGAGTGCTGTCTGTCCTTTTGCCAAGTCTCCCTACTTCAAGAATGAGAGTGAACGGTTGCTACCTCCTTGTAATATAATGTAGTCTGTAGGGTGACCCAAGGCCCAGTAGTAGGTCAGCAGTGGGGGGACTCCTTCCTCCTGGCTCTTTTGTCCTGGAAGGGACACTTTTTTAAGTTTGCTATATAATGTTTTTCAGACTGATTGCAGTTCAGAATTACTCATTTTTGCAATTGGATCTTTGTTAAAGGAAGAGAGAATAACTTTGAAATTAAGCTATATAAAAATTTGCAGAATGCTTTGCAGATATTTCTCTATTGGGTGAGGACAGTGACTATCTTACCTTTTTACAGACCATAGCTTGGTTTCAGTCTAGCTTAGATTCCTTCATGTACTTGAGACATAAAGAAATTTAATTAGAATCAATTTTGGTTATTTATTTATTTATTTTTATTTTTTTAAAGATGACCGGTAAGGGGATCTTAACCCTTGACTTGGTGTTGTCAGCACCACACTCAGCCAGTGAGCGAACCGGCCATCCCTATGTGGGATCCGAACCTTGGGCCTTGGTGTTATCAGCACCGCACTCTCCCGAGTGAGCCACGGGCCAGCCCAATTTTGGTTATTTTTTGAGAGTTTCATGATGTCTGGGAAATTAGATCACTTGAGTTGATGAAATTTCAGTGATAGGAATGAAGAGATAACCATGCTCTGTGAATTGTAAAGCATTATATAAATTATATACAATTTATTGAGTACTTACTGTGCCAGGCACTGTGCCACGGGATTTATGTTTATTTACTTATTTAATCCTCCCAACGACCTTGTGAGATTTGGTTTTAGTTCTCCTACTTCATCTCCATTTTACAGATGAGGCATGGAATAACAAGTACAAGCCTGAGTCAGAATTTGAATCCAGTCAGCTGGGATTTAAGCCTGTGCCTTTAAACACTTTACTACACTGTCTGCGGTAGATTATTGGGCAAAATGGTGAATTTGAGCATGGTAGAATGTAGACAAAGATTGATAAAGGGCTCAGGAAAAAAAATATTTGGGATATGAATCCAGTTCTCTTTGACCTCAAAGACCTTGCTCGCTCTTTTTTTGTTTTTTTCCCTGACCAGTAAGGGGATTGCAACCCTTGGCATTGTGTGATCTGCACCACGCTCAGCCAGTGAGCGCACCAGCCATCCCTATATGGGATCCGAACCTGCAGCCTCGGTGCTAACAGTGCCAGACTCTCCCGAGTGAGCCACGGGGCCGGCCCAAGACCTTGCTCTTTCTACTCCATCAGACCTGCTCTGTGTGTTTAAACTGTAACTGTCTGTTGTTTTTTTTTTAAAGAGATTAGTATATACAGATAGTCTACAAGTTATAAATTAGTTATTCACTTATTTTATAGTAGACATTTAGATAAAAATAACGTAAGAACTTTTAATGTTCCACTAACAAAAAACAGAGTAAAACAAAAGGTTGTTATGCAAGTTTCTCTTAGAGATTTGCTATATGAAGCGTTGCAGATGGATTTCCTTAAAGAATTGCCTAAACTTCGGGATTTTTTTTTAATTGGATCAAGTCTCAAGTCTCTAGGTGTAGCAACCCCAGGTTACTTACCTTGAATAAAACATTCATAATCTGCCTAGGCATTGGTTTTCTCATCCAGGAAGTAAGGGACATAGCATAGTTTGTTGCCAAGGTCCCTTCCCTAAATTCCATAATTCATTCATAATGTCCACATTTGCTCATAAATGAAAAGTGAAGTTGCTATATTTTATGACACTTCACAAATTCAAAGGCATGTTTCGTATCCCTCTCCCCCCATGTTTAATAGTATAAGGAAGGTTGAATGGACAATTTATTATTTTTTTTGTAAAATCCTTCTTAGTGTTTAAATGCATCACATGCTCTTTTAATACTTTTAAGTGTATGCCTTTTGAGGATAAGGCATATTTGGAATGTGAGCATCATTAGTAACCACTTGGTCTCTTTTTCTTTTTTATTGTCTTTTAAAAACAGATGATTTTTGATCCTACTATGAGCAAGAAGAAAAAGAAGAAGAAGAAGCCCTTTATGTTAGATGAGGAAGGGGATGCCCAGACAGAAGAAACCCAGCCCTCAGAAACAAAAGAAGTAGAGCCAGAGCCAACTGAGGACAAAGATGTGGAAGCTGATGAAGAGGACAGTAGGAAAAAAGGTGAGTGGTTGACACGAGAGAGTCACTGTTGTCCTAGAGCCCTAGTTCCACCAGTGTTTTGGATTTTGTGCATGCAGTGACCTCTCACCTAATAAGACTCTTTCAGTAAAGTCAAGGCCAGCAACAGTCTGTGTGCACTGGACCTTTCCAGATTTCTGATAGGCTTGTTGCAGGGAAATTCCCACTGAATTCACAAGTTGCAAAGATGAAAGACAACAAAACTTGTCATTCCAGAGATGGTTTTCCAGTCTAACCTGTCAGGTCGCTTCTCTAACTTTAATGGTGGTTGTATTTGAGGGTAGGCAAAAAGAAATGGGACCAAGATAGGCAGTTCTGTGCCTTAGCAAGTCTGAAAATGTATATAAGAGATTAAAATTATAGCCTAAAATGTTTTGGGTTAGACACCAGCTTTAGTTAGTCACTCTAACACACACACAATTTGACTATTAGAGAGAAATAAGTGATTCAGTGAACATAATTTGTGTCTATGGAATATAAGACTGCTGGGATAGAGAGAACTGGTAGTTACTGAGCATCTACCGTGTACTAAGTATCTTGCATATGTTTTTAAAAAACTTGGAAAGTAAATTATTCCTGTTGATGAATTTATAAACAGCTCCTTGAAAAACTTTGTAACAGAAGGATGCTAAAATATTCCTGGTTATTATGGCAGGGCAAGTGGAAGATGTTGAACAGAACCCATTATTACTCATTAATGGTAGATGAAATTTCATTGATATTTGTATTTACTGTGTTGCCTTATTTTAGGTTTTTTTGGAGGGGAGGGCTACTGGCTGGTATGGGGATCCAAACCTATGACATTGGTGTTATAAGGCTGTGCTCTAACCAACTGAGCTAACTGGCCAGCCCATGGCCTTATTTTGATGAATGTGAAATATTTTATAAGGCCTTTTGATTGATTGATTCAATAAAGTGTTGAGCTAGGCACTAGGATTTAGGTGAACACCACTAGACCCCTAGTATCTAGCAGGGAGGTAGATAAACAAGCTGGTAATAAGTACCTCAATTGGGGTAAGCAAAAGGTACTATCCAAGTACTGTGGGGACACCTAACCCAGTTGAGGGGGAAAGGATAGATTTAGAGAAGGCTTCTTAGTACAAGTAACTTCTAATCAAGATCCTGTGAGATGGAGGTAAGAGCTGTGTGGGAGGGCCCATGGGAAGGCTTGGAGGTAAGAGACCACACACACACTACAGTAGGAACTAGAAGCAGTTCAGTAAGGCTGGAGCCAAGGACTCTTGAGGTATGGGAAGTGGTTTGGTGCGGGCAGGGAGCATGTAGGCAGAAATGGAGAGATAAAGCTGGAGAGTCTTGGAAATTGTGTTAGAGCTCTGGCTTTCTCTTGGGAACAATGAAGAATGATATGGTTAGATTACTAAATAAATATTCTTAACATGATGCCCTAATCAGATTTTCTCCTACAAAGCTTTGAGTTGACCTGCCATTGTGTTTCTCAGAACCATAATTTTTGTGGTTGTAGAGGGACTATTTTACTAATTAATACCCTTTCCTGGTAACTTGATTAATTAATAGTTGAAACTTGTTGGTGTAACTCATAATTTGATACTTTGCCTTCTACTAATTGTTAATAATTGATAATCTTTTTTTTTAGATGCTTCTGATGATTTAGATGACTTGAATTTCTTTAATCAAAAGAAAAAGAAGAAAAAAACAAAAAAGATATTTGATATTGATGAAGCTGAAGAAGGTGTAAAGGTAGTATTGCTTTCTTGTTGAAGGTAAAATTTGACCTCTTGAGAGATTGCTGATGGCTGATATTTCTTCCCCTTTGTCTCATCTCTTACTAGCTTTGCTTTTGTTATTAGCACTTAATCACCCACTGTTAAGGTCATTTCCTTGGGCGTGTATCTGACTAGGTATCTTAAAGGGATTATGGTTCAAGGAACATAAGTTTAGTTATTTCATACTGTGCTATTAAGATGATCACAAAGTGCCCCCTTGTCCTTTAGCCATATTGAGAATAGCTGAGGAGAGAGATTTCTGTGAGAAATCCTGTGAACCAAATATTCCTGTGGTTTCTTCTTTTAAGCTTTTGGTAGCATGTTGCATATACACAAACTTACTTGTGTACCTGTGAGCAGCACAGAATGAATCCCAGCTTATAATGGTTGGTAGCTGCTGACAATGTGGCCTATAGGCAAACCAGAGCACTCAGACTAGTTTTATGGAGTTCTCTGATCTTGGAGGGACTTGAGACCCTGCGATTGTCTTATTACTGGATTGATTTCCAATAGAAATGTCTCAAAATTATTTTGAACAGGTAGGGGGAGTAGATAGGTAGGCATGTAGGTGAATAGGAGGGTGGATGGATGGAGGAGGAAGGGGCTGAAAGTCTGTTCTTCCTCTACCTAGAGTTACCATTTTAAAGACTCCAACAAGGAATCACTTTAGCAGAGTCCACACATCTATTTATACAACCCAAGATAATAGAAATTTTATGTGTATGTATATACATATAGTGTGCAATAGCAAGAACACACATACATGCACACAACCAAGTGTCCCATTTTGTGTCCTCTACCAAAATTTTTCTTTGGTGAATAGTTTATTTGCTCAAACTCAAGTAAATAAAGTATATCCCACATATAGCAGAAAACGTATACAATAATTCATTGGGTTTTGGAAACAGTGTCATAATTTTGATGACTTGGTTATTTCAGTAAATATGTATTGGTTATTACAATGAGTTAGGTATTGTGTGCTAATTGCTAGGGTACTGAAATGAATAAGATATTTTTTCTATTTTCAGAGCTATTTTAGTTCAGGGATAATTTAGAATCCTTCACAACAAACTGGTTTTACCTGGATTCATCTCGTTCTCTCCTCTTCCTGCTGCTGTAGGGAAATTGAGAAAGAAATGCTTAGATTATGCTGAACAAATGGGATTTAAATATCCTGGATAATAAGGTGACACATAGAGATGTGCTGCAGAAAATCATGGTTTACAAGCTTTTTTTTTTTTTTGTCTTTTTGTCTTTTTTCGTGACCGGCAACGGATCGCAACCCTCAGTGTCGTGCCCGTACCGGACCGGGACCGGCAACAGGATCGCAACCCTCGGTGTTGCCCCCGCTCCTCGCTCAGCCAGTGAGCCGCCGGTCTGCACATGGGATCCGAACCCTCGGCGGGAGCGCCGCCACGCTTCCCAAGCGGCGCACTGTAGCAGTGTGCCACCGGGCCGGCCCCATGGTTTACAAGCTTTTGTTGTTTTTTTCCTCCAGTAGCTTTTGTCCTGAGGAGTCACTGATAAGCTCTACTCTTATTAAATTAAATGCTTAGATACTTTTTTCTCTGCTGTTGAAATCATAAGAGGATGGTATAAGTACCCTGGTCATCGGGCAAGACATGGACACTAACTTGAAGCTGAAGTGTTTTTGAGGTCTTGGGTTACTCTGCCACTCTCCCACCATCATGGGGCTTTTAAAAAGCCTTGAAAAACACTTTTTGCTGTTCTCTGCTTTTTGCTGTGTCTTGGCCACAGTTTGGAAGTAGATTTTACTGAGATAAAATAAGTAATAGCATAGGACTAGAAGCTGGCTGGTGTGTGCTAATTTATATTCAGCATTTCTAAGTTTCTTGTTTATTGACTGTCATCTTAGAGACTAGGTCAATATCTGGTTTCTTGTTTGTATGGTATCTAGCTAATACAATGGGCTGGTTGGTCTTTGATGGCCAAATGTGGCACCAAGACTACACAGCTGGACTTGGGATCCCAAATCTGAACTTCATTTACTCCCAGCTATTCCAGTTTTCTGCTGATAAGGTTTCTGAAATTACTGTAGCCATTGTCACAGTAGTTCAGGGTGTAGGCACACAAAAAATAGGTATAAATTGATAGATAATGTTGACAGCACACTTCAGGATAAGGAGCTGGATACCTGGTGAGAGGAAGGAAAAATTAGAAGGCTGGAAACTGAGACTGGCTCTTTCTGTAATCTGGAGTGTTTATGAATTATTTCTAGGATTTATTTTTTTATTTTTATTTTTTTAAAAAGATGACGGGTAATGGGATCTTAACCCTTGACTTGGTGTTGTCAGCACCACGCTCTCTCAAGTGAGCTAACCGGCTATCCCTATATAGCGATCCGAACCTGTGGCATTGGTGTTATCAGCACCACACAATCCCAAGTGAGCCTCGGGCTGGCCCTATTTCTAGGATTTAATATATCCTATTTATATCCGTGCCTATAGCAACTCATTTTGGGGTTAAGCTTTACCTTGTTTTCAGACCCTAATTCCCCATGGGTTCTCTCTTTCTAACGTCATCTATTGAATTGATGTCCAAAGACCTCTGCACAGTCTGGTGCCAGGCTGACTGTGGTCTAATAAAAAATAAATATTTGGTCTTTGTCCCTGTTTCTTGGCACCCAACTCCTAAAACCTTTCTAATCTCCTAAATGATGAGTGTTTTGTATGCTAGAGATGACTGGTGGCTGCAGCCCCTAGATAGCTTCAGGATTGGGGCTGGTCACCAGAAAGACCAAGCAGTGATTAGGAGGTTGGAACTACAATGTCCCTTTGCCATCTCTGGGGAGGGGAGAAGGTCTGAAGATAGAATTCAATCACCAGTGGCCATGCCTGTGTAATGAAACTGCCAATTAACGGGTTCAGAGAGCTTCAAGGTGCTGTGAGGGTTGCATGCCTGGAGATAGCATGGTAGCTTCACTCCTGCCTTTCTTACCACCTCCTCAGCCCTCTACCGCAATATCTTGTCCTATCATCACTTCCATGTGGTTGTCTCCTTTATAAATTGGCAATAATAAGTAGAGTGCTTTCCTGAGTTGTGAGTTGTTTTGGCAAATTATTGACTCTTTGAGGGAGTTGTGGGAACCTCCGAATTTGTAGGCAAGTCTGACAGAAGTGTGGACAATGTTGGGATCCCGTACTTGAAACTGTCTTCTGAAGTGAGGGCATTCTTATAGGACTGAACCCTTAAATTTATGGAGTTCGACAATAACTTTGGGTAGTGATTGTCAGAATTGAATTAGAGGACACCAGGTTGATATTGGAGAGTTGGAGAATTGGTGTGGGAAGATACCATATATTTGGTGTCTGCAGGAAAAATCCCTCCCATTGACTACATTAGAGTCATTTAGAAACTTCTTTAAAATACTCCTGAACCCTGTTGTTGCTAAAGATCATCAATCAGAAGATTTAAGTATCTTCTAAAGTTTCTTGCCTGTAACTTCAGTTTTGAATATTTTAAATTTTTTCCCCTGTAGAATGATATCAGCACATGTCATTTTAAAACAAGAATTAGTCCTGATATCAAAATATTGAGACTCTTATCTCCATTTCTTAGGATCTCAAGATTGAAAGTGATGTTCAGGAATCAGCTGAACCCGAGGATGACCTTGACATTATGCTTGGCAATAAAAAGAAGAAAAAGAAGAATGTCAAGTTCCCAGATGAGGATGAAATACTAGAGAAAGATGAAGGTAATATTGGGGACTTAGCAGCTCGTGTCCAGGTTACTCAAGCCTTTGGCTCTAGTCTCCTGTGGGGGGTTGGTGGGAATGCTTCCTTTTTAAAATATTTTTTCTGCCCCTTTTTCCACTGTCTGATAATGGAAGCTGAAAGGAAATAGTATCTAACTTGATAATGGCAGTTAAAGATTTTATGGGGGAAGAATTTGGCAATTGTGCTTACATTAAAAACATACCAATTCAAACGGGAAAATTACTGTAACTGGATTTTAAACAATGTTTAAATTTTTTTTTAATGTTTTGGTTACGGTTTTATTAGTTTCTAAATGCTATAGGGCCTTTAGAGAACTTTAGTATGGTCAGCAGATGGGTTTTTATGGATGTGGATGTTTAAGTGCTTCAAAACAGTTGGACTCTTTTTCCTCCAATTTTTTAATACATTGTTTTATCTTTTGTTTGTTAATCAGTATTTCATTGTGTTACCACAAACTCCTAACTAGAGAGGTCTCTATTAAGTGCCTTTTGTGAAAGTCATAACATCCCTGTCTTTGAAGCAAAAGGGGTTGTTTGTGAGCCTTGTTCTCTTTATGCTTGAGGCCATTTTGAATGCAGTTATGGAAGGGAAGACAAATGTCTTTGAAAATTTCAGTGCTCTAGATCTGCCCCCTCCCCTTTTGTTATTGTAGCAGAGCCACCCCCTCATTCTTACAGTCTGTTATCTGTAGCTTTAGAAGATGAAGACAGCAAAAAAGATGATGGTATCTCATTCAGTAACCAGACAGGCCCTGCTTGGGCAGGCTCAGAAAGAGACTACACATATGAGGAGGTAAGACAAATTTTGTTGTGAAAAGAGGCTATGCTTTTCACTTGAGCTTTAAAATAATGAAGATAAATGTTCTTTGAATTGGAAGGGCCAGATTGTGATATAGATGGCAGAGAGGGCATGCAGGCAGTGTGCAGCATTTCCTGATGCCTGTGTGTGGGGCAGTCTGCCCAGCATATGGCAGTCATTGTAGTTCTCACTGTCCCCACATGAATTCATGGACTTCTCAGGGCATGGAGCCTTCTAGGAACCAGAGGGGCAGTGGTGACAGAATGGCTAATAGGGGGCTAGTCTGGAAATTGCGTGTTTGGGCTTTTGTAAATCTTAACTTTTCTATTTATCATATACTTTTCCATAGAAATAGCAGAATTAGTAGGGGCTTATTCATTCATTTAACTTTTTTTTTTAAAAAAAGATGACCGGTAAGGGGATCTTAACCCTTGACTTGGTGTTGTCAGCACCACGCTCTCCCAAGTGAGCTAACCAGCTATCCCTGCATAGGGATCCAAACCCGTGGCCTTGGTGTTAACAGCACCACATTCTCCCAAGTGAGCCACGGGCCAGCCCTCATTCATTTAACTTTGAACAAAAGAATCACTGAGCATCCGTAATGGAGCAAATCCTGGTTGGAGATTAAGCCCCTGCCCTCAAGGAGCTCCTAGTCATGTAGTGATGCCTGTGTATACTTAGTAAAAAGTGAAGTATTCTCTATTAAAGCAAAGTGACTCAAATGGGAACTTTATACTCCTGCTGTTACTAAGAATATGCATAAATATCACTTTATCTCTATAGCTACTGAATCGAGTGTTCAACATCATGAGGGAAAAAAATCCAGACATGGTTGCTGGAGAGAAAAGGAAATTTGTTATGAAACCTCCACAGGTTGTCCGAGTAGGAACCAAGAAAACTTCTTTTGTCAACTTTACAGATATCTGTAAACTGTAAGTTGTTTAAAGCAGATCCTCCACACCAAATACCAGATTCTCAGTAGAGTATTAAGGATGTTAAATGTCCTTATTGTGGACTTTACTGCAGGTAGTAAGAGAGAATGCACAGGTGTAGGGGTTAGGTTACGGGAGGTCACAGTTGAAGTTCATCAGTCCTCATAGGTCTTGGGCTCATTTTTATCAGGACATCCAGAGGTGAGAGAAGTCAACTTCTGCTGACCTATGAGAGTGGATCCTAACCAGATGGAGTGAAGAGTGAGGAGGCTGAATGTAGTCCTCAGCCAGGAACCTGGGGAGCTCAGGGAGGTGGAAAAAGCTCATCAGTCAGACTGGTGTGGGCCTGCAAGCAAGTAGTAAGCTGTGGTAAAGTGGCTGAATTTGGTGTGCCTCTTTCTTGAATTGCCAGGACACAATTAATGAGAGTTCAGCTTTCTTAATTACTTTTACATTCCATGCCACCCCCAAGTCATTGTCTGGTATCACACTGGTTTTTTGGGGTTTTTTTTTTTTTTTTTTAAAGATGACCAGTAGGGGGATCTTAACCCTTGACTTGGTGTTGTCAGCACCACACTCACCCAGTGAGCTAACTGGCCATCCCATATAGGGATCCGAACCTGTGGCCTTGGTGTTGTCAGCACCCCACTCTCCTGAGTGAGCCACAGGCCAGCCCCTCACACTGGTTTTTAACCTATTTTTTCAATATATCATGAAACTTTACTCATGTCATTAAATAGTCTTCATAAGTGTTTTAAGTAGCTATACAACATATTCTAACAGTTCCTTGAGTTGGATATGGTTGCTCCCAGGTTTTTTTTTAATCAGAGCCAAAGCTTTAGGGAACGTCTTTATACATATATCTTTGCAGTAGCTCAGAATGGAGCCTTAGGGCAGAAATTCCCAAAATGGAATTGCTGAGTTAAAAGGAATAGATATTTTTATAGCAAACATTGGCAAATTGCTTTCCTGCAAGCTTGTACTAATTTATACTCCCACCAGCAATGTAGAGGCTTACCTATTTTATATTTTCACCAACTCTCACCAATTGCATTTTGGGAAAAAATGAAAATTGTAATAGTAGGACCTGTTGTTGGATCAAGTTCAAACACTGCCAAAATGTATAGTTTTAAAAAATGAAAATACTGAATTGCATTGTTCTGTTTGCTTTTTAAACTTTATATGTGGTTGTGTTTTTGTTTTGTTTTTTGTGGGGTTTTTTGTTTTCTATATAGAGAGACCTGTCTTATTCTAAAATCAGGATAGTATACCATTGAATGGATGTACCATAATTTATTTAACCAGTTCCCCAGTTGGTGAATATTTAAGCTGTTTCTATTTTTCTACTGTTGTGCTGTCATGAAGTATTTCTATATATAGTTCTCTCTCTTTTTTTTTTAATCAAAAACTTCAAATAGAAAATACATAGGGATTAGGATAACAAACATCCTTCACCTTGGTTTCTAAGTTTGGTTTATATTGACTTTTTTTTTTTTTTTTGGCACCTTGCCAGTACAGGAGTAGAACCCTGGACCTGATGTTATCAGCCCCACATTCTAACCAACTGAGCTAACCGGCTAGCACTAATAATTTGACCTTTTGACATATTTGCTTCAGATCTTTTTACTTTAAAAAGAGGGTTTTACAGTTAAGATTAAGGCCACCTTTGTATCTCTTTCTGATCCCTTTCTCCTTCCTTCTCAGAGGAAGATGTTATCCTCTAAAGTTGGTGTTTATCTTTCCTGTCCACGTTTCTAGAAGTTTACTCATGCATATATTCATCAAACCATGTAATATTGTTCTATGGGCATTAAAATTAGATAAGTAGTAGCATAAAGTATATATCTTTATTTCAAAGTTTAAGTGAACCGTGCACTGATATTCACCTATAGTTGAATAATCACATATCAAAACAGTGAACAGGATGGTTTTTTAGTAGTTTGGTCAGATTTCTTTGAAAGATAAGGTTTATATATTTGATTTTCTTTTTAGATTACATCGTCAGCCCAAACATCTCCTTGCATTTTTATTGGCTGAATTGGGTACAAGGTAAGAAACTATATTCACATTTATATACACTACTATTGGACATTTTATGCGAACCTCTCAACTTGAAAAGGATATGTAACTGCTTAGAAAAGGCATTCACCTGATTATCAGACAAATGTTTAGGCCATTAAAGGAGTGAAATCATTTCTGTGGGAGTGCTTGGCTGCTTAGGAATAGGGTACAGAGTTGGCTTATCTGAACAGGCCTGCCAGTGTACCAGAGTGAATACTGCAGTACTGCCATGTTTAGAATTTCTGGTCTTGGGTCTTTTTATGGAGCAAATATTAGATTTCAGAGGAAGCCTTTTTTTTTTTTTTCCTTTTTGTCTTTTTTCGTGACCGGCAACGGATTGCAACCCTCAGTGTCGCGCCCGTACCGGACCGGGACCGGCAACGGGATCGCAACCCTCGGTGTTGCTCCCGCACCTCGCTCAGCCAGTGAGCAGCTGGTCTGTATGTGGGATCCGAACCCTCGGCGGGAGCGCTGCTGCACTCCCAAGTGGCGCACTGTAGCAGTGCGCCACCAGGCCGGCCCGGAAGCCATTTTTTTAAGGAAGAAATTTTTTTCTAAATTGGTAATAGGCTATTAAAGAAATACAGTTTGTTAGTTGATGAGTGGCACAAAAGAAACCACTCAAACGGGTTCTTGATTAAATAGCTACTTCCCTATCTTCAGGGCTCACCTATTGAAGGTGAGCCAGTTCATCCCCATTCAGGAAGGCCAGGATCTCATGGTGCCCATGCCAGTGAATTTGACTACTGTAAGTGTGAGAAGCCGAATGTCCCTTTAAAAAAAGAAATGTGGACTTAGGTCATAATGACTAACACGTATTGAGCACGTATTATGTGCTGGGTACTGTGCCAAGTGCTTTTTTGGTTGCCTTTCTGTTTTATAATAGTTTTTGTTGTTTTTTTGTTTGTTTTTGTTTTTTTGCAGCTGGCCAGTATGGGGATCCAAATAATTTTACAAGTTTTATGAAGTAGAAAATTAATATCCCTGGCCTGGCCGGTTAGCTCAGTTAGTAGAACTGAGTTATGGTATTGGTAACACCAGGGTCAAGGGTTTGGATCTCTGTACTGGCCAGCTGCAAGGAAAAAAAGTGACTATCCCTGTCTTCAGATTTGGAAACAGGTTCAATGAAGTGAAGTATTTGGTAACATAGTGGCACAGTCAAGATGAAAACTCAGGTCTGCCTCTGGAGCTTGAGCTCTTAAAAGGCTTACTGCCTTTGTTTTGCTAGCAGTACAGAGATAAAATTAAGGTGTTCTTTTCTCTTCCTACTCTCTCAAAGCTCAGTTGGAATTTGCTACACTTGCAGTGGACTTAGGAGTAATTTACTTGACCATGGTGGCTATGTAGGCTCTGTTGCAGAATTGTGTTTTAAATATAAATTTGTTAACAATTATTGTTTATTTTTAACTTGCATACTAACGAAGGAGCAAAAGCTAGCAGTGTTTTTTCTACTTCCCAGAATAATCTGTAGTTTTATAGAGTTGATATAAATTATAACAAGCTGTATGACCAGTGAACTTATGGTCAGTGGGTTAAATACTATAGGGTTGTTGAGAAAATTCAATTTCTTTTAACAGTGAATGAGAAAAATTTGCTACATCAAGCACTGGAATCACTGTAGCCTGGAGATTAATGGTTATAGTCCATGGAGGATGATATTAAACCCTTATAGTTAAAGGAGAATCACAGGAGGTTCTTGCAAAAGTCAGTTTTATGATGAGATACAGAACAAATATAAATTTAACTCTGCCTGGCTGGATTTCGTTGTTTTCACTTTGTGAATTGTAATTTTTTTATTTTTAATTTAATTTAATTAATTTATTTTTTTCTGACCGGTAAGGGGATTGCAACCTTTGGCACAGTGTGGTTTGCACCACGCCCAGCCAGTGAGCGCACCTGCCATCCCTATATAGGATCCGAACCCGCGGCCTCCGCGCTACCAGTGCCGCACTCTCCCGAGTGAGCCACAGGGCTGGCCCATGATTTGTAATTTTTTTTATTTTTTATTTTTTTTGTCTTTTTTCGTGTCCGGCAATGGATCGCAACCCTCAGTGTTGCGCCCGGACCGGACCGGGACCGGCAACGGGATCGCAACCCTTGGTGTTGCGCCCACACCTCGCTCAGCCAGTGAGTGGGAACCGGTCTGTATGTGGGATCTGAACCCTCGGCGGGAGCGCCGCCGCACTCCCAAGCGGCGCACTGTAGCAGTGTGCCACCGGGCCGGCCCTATAATTTTTTTTATTTTTAACGAATGATAGTGTCTGGCCCAGAGCTTTGCTTTCTCAAAAGTGCTTGTTAGTTGCTTCTTCTCAAAAAATTTGTCATTGAGTACCGTTGACAATTTGTGGCCTGTGATTTCAATTATACTTTCTTTGGTAATAGCTTTATTGATATACAACTCACACATTTCAAGTATACAATGTAATGGTTTTTAATGTTTACATATTAAAATTAATATGTATAACCACCACCACATTTAATTTTAGTATATGTTTTTCAGCTCTGTTTAATCATAATGGAATCAAAATATTTGGTGCTTAGAATTTTAAAAAATATGGGCCGGCCCAGTGGCGCATGGGAGAGTGCGCCGCTTGGGAGTGCGGCGGCGCTCCCGCTGAGGGTTCGGATCCCATGTGGAGACCGGTTCCCGCTCACTGGCTGAGCGCGGTGCAGGCGCAGCACCGAGGGTTGTGATCCCGTTGCCGGTCCCCGGTATGGGCGCGACACTGAGGGTTGCGATCCCGTTACCGGTCAGTAAAAAAGACAAAAAGGAAAAAAAAAAAAGAATTTAAAAAAATATATATAGCCTCTTTTATGTTTTTATATTTATAGCCCCCTCACTTGCTTTGCACATGGTATGCATTCAGTAAAAGTTTATTTTCCTTTGTTGGATGAGTGGGCTATCACACATAAGGAATCGATTTGTTTTAGACTTAAAATCAATTATAAATCTGATTGTTGTCATTGGAGATTTAATTGGTTGAAACTGTATTTAATGTTAGTATGGCTAGGTCATCAGGCACCAGTTACTTAATTAAAAATAAATTTTGAGAAACCAGGTAGTATAGCATTGATCCTAAAACTTACCCTATACGTTGAATATATTTCAAATTCACTAAATATAAAGGCGCTGGAATTGAGTTCCTCCAGGGAAAAAATTTAATAATAATGGAGATATTTTTTTTTTTTTTTTCATAGTGGTTCTATAGATGGTAATAACCAACTTGTAATCAAAGGAAGATTCCAACAGAAACAGATAGAAAATGTTTTGAGAAGATATATCAGTAAGTGTATACAGTAGTCTCCCCTTATCCAAGGCTTTGCTTTCTGAAATTTCAGTCAGCACGTACAATATAGAGTACAATAAGATGTTTTAAGAGAGAGGGAGAGACCACATTCACGTAACTTTTATTACAGTATATTGTTGTAATGAGAGACCACATTCACGTAACTTTTATTACAGTATATTGTTGTAATTGTTCTGTTTTATTGTTATTGTTATTAATCTCTTACTGTGCCTAATTTATAAATTAAACTTTATCATAGGTATGTATGTATAGGAAGAAACATGGTACATATGTATAGGATTCAGTATATGTATCTGTGGTTTCAAGCATCCTCTGGGGCTCCTGGAACATATCCCCTGTGAATAAGGGAGGACTACTGTAATTTAATTTTATTACATCACTCTGAATTGTTCTCATCAGTCTGCAGTGTTTCAGGGGAGAGCCATTTGTTTGTAATGAGGCCTGGAAAAGCTGGTCTTAAGAAGATCAGGGAGAAAATGATAGCAAAAGGGAGGTGGCTCTTGACCTCTGGTTCATGGTACAGAGAAAGGGGCTTGGATTTCTTAGGAAGACCCAGCTGATTGATTCTAGGCTTAAGGCCAAGTCAGAGAAACCTGCCTGCAATTCAGGCCTGGACTGGCCTGGCCCCCTTTTGTTATCTTTCTAATCACTTAAAATTGTCATGTCTTTTTCAACTCATGTTTTAGTACCAGAAGCATCACAACAGACAGCTTGTGTTTTCTTACCCCTAGAAAAGCTAAGCTTCCCTGATCAGGGTGCCCAGGTAAACTGTCATCTCAGCCTGATCCTGTGGAGTTCAGTTTAGATGTATTTCAGAGAGCAAAAACCTCTGCCTCAGTGCTGTGGCCACCAGGTAATGCTGTGTTGCTTTTCCTACAGAGGAATATGTCACTTGTCACACATGCCGATCACCGGACACAATCCTGCAGAAGGACACCCGACTCTATTTCTTACAGTGTGAAACTTGTCATTCTCGATGCTCTGTTGCCAGCATCAAAACCGGCTTCCAAGCTGTCACGGGCAAGCGAGCACAGCTCCGTGCCAAAGCTAACTAATTTGCTAATCACCACTGATTTTGCAAAGTGTGTTGTGGAGATTTGGCTGGACAGGTTTACCATCAGAGTGGATATACCATTGTATTAAAAACAAGGTAAAAAAAAAAAGCTGCCAGTTCTTTGGCGAGTGGTTGGTTGGTCTGAAATCCTTGCAAGATGCTGATGCTCAAGCTGTTGACATACTCATTGCCTACTTTAACAACTGTCAAAGAAACGTGATATGGGGTAAGGAGGTGCTTTTTTAAAATCGTTCATAGACTTCTGTAAAATGCAAGATAAATTAAAGTTATTATAACAGTGATTCTTTCAATTTGGTTTGTCCTTCAGTTTTCTTTTTTATAAAAATTTTGCTTGATGAATTCAGTACGAAACAAAACAAAAGTTTGTGCCTGGGCTCTGGTGAGGTCTCTGTGTCCTTATCCTGAGATACTGGACATTGGCAGGCACTTCAGCTGGGCAGCCATTTTCCTTCTCAGCTTCTCTTGGATACACAGTTAAAGTAGACATGGCTTCCTGTGAAGAGGGTGGTTGGAGCATGAGATCTGGGGAGACTTCCCGTTTTCAGTGTCCAGGGAATGACTACGTAGATTTCTTATGTGAGGATTATTGCTACTACCTCACTGCCAAGTCCTCCTCCAGCTGTTAACACTTGAGGGAATTCAAGGTATGAGATACACTCCCTCCTTAGAATTTTCCTTATTGGCCACTTAAGAGGTCTTAGAATCATCACCTCAGGGGCTGGCAGGTTGGCTCAGTTGGCTAGAGCACAGCCTTGTAATGCCAAGGTCAAGGGTTCAGATCCCCATACCAGCCAGCCGCCAAAAAAAAGAAACATAGCCTCTGAGTGTGACTTGAAACAGGCACACTAAGAAAAAGTCCTAGTTGGGGTTCTCTGTTGGTTAGGAAGCAATGAGGTATGTGCAGTATGGGAACTCTTCTGAGTCCAAACAGGAAGTTTGTGTTCTGGGTTTGAAAAAGGCCCACCACAAATGCTTTTCTGCTTTCTATATGAAAGTAGCTTTTGAATGTGACCATGAGAATCCTAGAGATGGTGCTGCTTGTGAGTGTTTCTGGTACCTCCAGTTCTGCCTCCTGAGGATTTGGCTGGAAGGGTATTTCTCCATCAGCACAAAGGGGAAGGCCATCTCATGTGTCTGCCGTGATCTGCCTTGCTCGCACTTGCTGAGGATAAGGGCATACCTGCTGTTCCTTGCTTTCTTGTTGCCAGAGTGTTCATACTAAGCAGCCCAGGAGCATTCACTCAGCCCTGAACGTCTTGACCATGTTTTTGATCACTGTGACCTTAATTTTAAAGTATAGGCCAAGTGTTGTCAAGTACCTTGGCCATGAAGCAGAGGAGGGTGCTTCCTTCAATCCAGTAGGTCCTCCTGAGGGGACCACACTGGCTGAGCTGCCACCACTGCCACGATGAACCCAACTGCTGTTTATGATCCCATTTTCTTTTTCTTTTTTTTTTTTTTTTTTATATATGTATGCCCACACAGTTCCCAATGTTGGATATTACTGCGTGAATAAAGCAAGGATCGGTGCCTCTTGTATAATTAGTGCTCCATTGCTTTTGTGTGTATGTATGTGTGTTTCATTTATTTCTTTACTTAGTGGGACCCCTTAAGGAAAGGCATGGGACTTTAGAGTTTGGTGACAGGTTGGTGATTTCAACCCTAGTTTTAAACTCCATTCTCAAAGCAGATTCTCAGGACTGATCCTGCCCCTTTAAAATATTCCAGTTGAGATACTGTTTGATTAAAATTAGATTGACTTTATAACTGAACCCACTGAAAATGATGGATTGCCCTAGATTACCCATACACAGTAGCATAGGCCTCTTCTGTCTCTGCTACCTCTCACTAACCACAGCCCAGCTGGAAGTAACATTGCCATGGAATGACAAAGCAATCAAGGGTTTCTGATCAAGAGCCAGATTCTAGTTGTCAGAAGGGTACCAGACCATCATTTCCAAAGTGTCTTGGGGAATGGTATTGAGGACTATTCCTAATTATGCAAAGGGAAAAAAAAGGACAGGGGTTCCTGGTTAAGAACTGTTAGAGAATAAGTAAAGTTTCATAACTGTCTGAGGGAAGTCTTGATATGCTAATGGGCATTTTCTTCAGCACAAACATGCAGTTATAGCTCCACTCTTTAGAAGACCCTCTGCAGACTCCATACCCCTCACCCCTACTTACAGAAAAGCTCTTCAGGTCCCTGCCCCGTTTTATGATATTGTTTCCCCTCGTGTATCCCCAGTGCTGAGAGCAAGCAGTACCTAGAAAGTTGTAGGTGTTGCATAAATATTTCAATGAGTTTCTTTAAAGGGAGTATAGAACACACAAATTTGTAGCCCCTCTCCACTCCTCTCCCAAACATCTTGTAGGATAAGTGTTCTACAGAAAAAAAGCTGGGCTGGACAGCCTGGAAGAAGTGCTGCTGTAATGTGTGAGGCCCCAGCTCTGCACCTGGGTTCTCCCATCTAGATCCTTTGCCCTGACAATGTCAAGGTTTCACATTTGTTTTTTTTTTTTTTTTTTGTCTTTTTTCGTGTCCGGCAACGGATCGCAACCCTCAGTGTCGCGCCTGTACCGGACCGGGACCGGCAACGGGATCGCAACCCTCGGTGTTGCTCCCACACCTCGCTCAGCCAGTGAGCGGGAACCGGTCTGTATGTGGGATCCGAACCCTTGGCGGGAGCGCCACCGCGCTTCCCAAGCGGCGCACTGTAGCAGTGCGCCACCGGGCCGGCCCAAGGTTTCACATTTGAATAGAAAGATTTTGCAATGGGTTCTTAGAAGTTGGGTTTTGTAGTATGTGTGGTCTTTTTTAATTGAGAAGATGAAATTATAATTTAAAATGTCAAATTCCTGTAATCATACCACCAAACAACCTTTTAGTATCAAGACCATTTTTCCAAGTTATTAATCTTCATAATTTTAAAAGACTGTGTAAAGAGTCTGTTCATTTTATGCCATAGTTTATTAAATCAGTACCCTAATAGTGGGTGCTTGCTAATTCTTGATAATGCTTGTTGAGTATGGGCTTTGAACAGTCCAGAGTGGCAGTCCTCTTGTGCTTTTATTATCCTGTATTCTCATCTATAAAATGGGAAGCTGCCTACCTCAAAGAGGTAAAGTGCTTAACCCAGGTCTGCCGAGCACATAGAACTGTTTTCCCCTATGGTTTACTTAGTCTGAATTTCCAGGGTGGGATTCCAGAGCCATGGGGCAGGAGACTCTTTATGGCTGATAGTACTTGTAACCATATCCCTTTTCCCAAAGGATGGTACCAGTTGGCCCTGCCAAGTGTGTGCTTTTCACATCAAATCCTGGGGACTAGATACTGCTTCTATTTTTGACTTCCCATTGACGATTGCTCTTGGGATGATTGCTTGTCTCAGTGATCCTGATGAACCCTGCCACCTTTGGCTGTAGGGACACCAAGCTTTTGCAAAGATTTGCAACAGAGGTATAGTCCTTGGAGTTCTGTCACACTAATGGTGGTGCTCTTGAGAGAGGAAAAAACCTGTTGGGTCCCCTGTTGGGACCTGTTGGTTTCCCTGCCTCATGGCAGGGAAAGGACTTGCCATGGTTCCTGACGCTTTCAAACCCTCCCTGGATAACATAAGATACTCCAGAACCCTTGTAAAATCACTGCCCCTATTTAAATTTGGCTTCTATATTGTTAACACAACATTTGAAGCCATTGGAGGATCATCTGTTTTAAAGGATAGTCTTCATATTAAATGACAGCTTTAATGGGCATCTTTTAAAATTAAATTCATCAGTTGTAGATTTTTATGAGCTTTTAATTGAGCCAGAATTCAAATCAAAGCCAAAAATATCACATGGGAGGTTGGCCAGACTTAATCATAAGTGGCAACAGCTTCAGTATAACTATTTTGGCCTCTGAGAATTATGACTCATTTTTGAGTCTCAGATGTACCAGTGTACTATGACATGCCTCTCACATGGCCCAGAATCTGGGCTATTCTTAAATAATAATTTGTATAAGAAGTGGCTAACTGCCATAGTCCTTGCCAAGCCCTGTTCTAGATGCTGTATATACAAATTAACTCATTTACTCTTCACAGCAACCCTTTGAAGTAGGTGTACTATTATCCTCATTTTACAGATGGGGAAATGGGGACTTAAGCACTCACCCAAGGTTGCATAGCTGGTAGGTGGTGGAGCCAGGATGCAGCTCCAGACTTTTGGCTTCAGAGTCCGTGTTCTTAACCACTCTGCAATGCTGTCCCTCTCAGACTGTGTAAGTTCAAAAGTATTGTCTGAGAGCAAAAGGAGTTTAGTCTAGTGGAAACAACAGATAAGCCACCAATGGTAAATATACTGTGGTAAAGTGATAACTGGAGTAGCACATGGGAGGGGCAACTCTAATTCAGGCCAGGAAGGTGTTTTTGAGCAGGTGACTTCTGGGCTGTGAGCTATAGAGAACAAGGGTTAGCCAGTGGGAGAAGACAAAAAGCATTTAAAGCAGAGGCAACGTGTAAAGGCACAGAAGCCAGACAGCACAGGTCTTTCCACAATTAGTTCCATGTGGCTTGAGACTAGGGAGCAGATTGCAGGAGGGAAGATGTTGAGCTAGAGAAAAGGAGTCAGATCATGGAGAGCTTGCATGCCATGCTAAGGGGTCTGGATTTTATTCAGTGGGCAGTGATAACTGATGGTGGCAAAAGGGAAAGACTGGTGGGAAGTAAGTGGCAGGGAGACCAGTTAGGAGGTTACTAGTCCAAGTTAGACAGGAAAAGGGTCTAGCCTAAGGCAGTGGGGGGTGAACAGGGTTTAGAGCCAAGACATACTATGGAAAAACTAACCTGACAAATAGAAACAGAGTAGAAGATGTTGACAAGGGCAATTGGATAGACAGTGGTACCATTCCCCAAGATGTGGGATTCATGAAGACTGGGGCCAGAACAGGGTAGGGCTCAACTGACGTCATTGTGGACATTCAAGTGCAGCTATCGATGGGCATCTGTATATATTCCCTGGTGCTCATGGGGAAGTGAGTTAGAGATGGAGGTTATGGAGCAATGAGTGGAGCCTGAAGCCATGGATCAGGTCATCTAGGGAGCATGTACAGAGAATGAAGAGACGATGGAAAGGTACAGGAATAAGAAGAGTCAACAAAGGAAACTGATGAGTGCACAGAGGAGGAGGGCCAGGAGAGGCTTGTCAAAAAAATTGAGAGGAATTTCGAAGAGTTGTTTATGACGGGGATGGGGGAAGGTTTGCATCCTGCCTCCACCTTCTTCTGGTGACGTGATCTTAGGCAAATTATTCA